AGAGGGAATAACATTAGAAGACAAACAATTGGTTATCCAGATTAAAAATCAGAGTCAGGCTCATATAAAAAGAATTTATAATGTTTTATTAGAGTTAGACTCGGAAACAGAATTGGTTAAAGACTGTATGATTAAATGGGCTCAAAATATACAGGAACCGATTTCATTGGATTTATGGGAGATAATTTGGACTAGAAATGTTAAATTTACACAAGCTCAAAATTTGAGAGAAAATTTTTATAAAATGTTTTATAGATGGCATTTAGATCCTAAAAAATTATCTTGTATGTATTCTAATATACAGCCCAAATGTTGGAGATGTGGCAATAAAGACGCGACATATTTCCATATTTGGTGGAATTGTAAAAAGGTAAAGGCTTTTTGGATTATGATTTGGTGGAACATTCAAAAGATTTTTAGAAGGAAGATAAAGTTTACTCCTCAACTATTTTTATTGGGTATTTTTGTGGATTTAAATGATAAAGAAACTATTTTGATGTTGAATTTATTAACTGCTGCAAGGTTATTAATAGGTTTATATCGGAAGAAAGATTCCTTGCCTACTTTAGAAGAATGGGTATTTAAAGTATCTAGTTTTGCAGAAATGGCAAAAGTTTCTGCTTATTTAAAGGATCATACACAAGAAAGATATATTACTGTATGGAGAAGATGGATAGATTATATTCAAAAAAAGTATGGAACTAAAAAGTTTCATTTATTTTATGAATGAATATTATAGTAAATATTATAGAGAATTGTCTTATAGGTTATTGGAGTTAAAGGTTAAGTATGGTATTTTCTTTTTTTTTCTTTTTTCTTATTATTATAAATTTTCTTATTATTAAACCTGTATTCTGCTCTGGGAAGTGAAGGGAGGGGGGTTGGGGATGGGAGAGAGGAAATGTAGGGGGGGGGGGTAAGTGTAATATAGATAATGGTTGCTTATAGGGGTGTGGCCTGGGCACTCCCCTTATGCTGCGTTCATGGGTTTGATATGGATGAGAGGTGAGAAAGTGTAGAGAGGAAGTAGGGCAGTGAGAGGAGAGGGGGAGGGGAAGAGAGTAGGATGGGAGGTGAGAAAGAGGAGGGAAGTAGGGAATGTTTTAAGAGAGGGTGGACGCGGCCTGGGGGGAGTGGGCAGGTCGTACCAATGGTTATGAATTTATTTTATTTCAAAATTGTATTGTACTTTTTTTTATAATGTTTATATGGAAAAAATAAAAAACTTTTAATAAAAAAAAATAATCTAAGAGTTATAATGGATATATTGGAATATTATGAACTGCATCCAGGGAAACAATTGGCACTAATATTTTTAGATGCTCAAAAGGCATTTCACAATTTTTCGTGGCAATTATGATCCAACAATTAAAAATAGTGGACTTTGGACAAAACTTTATAAATATGATTAAAACAACATACAATAAACAGCGAAAATGATTGTAAATGGAGACTACACAGAGAACTTTGAGATAAGAAAAAGCATAAGACAAGGATGTCCATTATCTCCATTGTTATTTATTTTAACTTTGGAAGTTTTAAATAGAAATATTAGACAAGATACAAAAATTAAAGGATTAGAAATAAAAGGTGAAACATACAAATTGCAAGCATTCACAGATGATTTGGTATTTATTCTAGAAGAAACTTTGGAGATGATCCCTAAACTACTGGAGAAGATAGAACAGTATGGAGAAATAGCAGAAAATAAACAGAGAAAAAAACTAAAGTAATAGTTAAAAATCTCTCAGATAAGCAAAAAAACCCAACAAATGTCAGAAAAAATAGAACTACAAATAGTTAAAAATGATAAATACCTGGGAATATACTTAACAGCCAGATGTTCAACGATAAAAGAAGATAATTATATAAAATGATTAAATCAAACAAGACTGCACTTGGGAAAATGGAAAAATCTGCAACTGTCGATATTAGGAAGAATTGCTACAGTGAAAATGAATATATTACCAAAACTTTGTTTCTATTCCAAACAATACCTATAAAACTTGAGAAAAAATTCTTTGAAGATTTAAATTCATTAATTTTGAAGTTCAAAATTAAGGAAAGAAAGCTAGAATTAAGATGAAAATGTTACAAGAAGCCAAGGAAAATGGAGATTTTGGTTAGCCAGAGTGGGTCTTATATTATCAAGCATCTGTATTAACATGGGTAAAAGAATAGAAAACTCTTAGAAACAAAAGGTTGTTCAAGAAATGGAAAATCAGGGTATAAATCTATCATGGTGGGCATACTTACAAATGCAAGTTAGATATGATAAAGATGTTAAACTGTATGGATTTTATAAGGAGCAAACCTTGTTTGATACTTAGATATTATTAACCTCTGATGGGAAATTAATTAAGAAAATCTATAATTTTCTATTGAATTTGAAAATGGAAAGCGAACAAGTCAAAGAAACAATGATAATATGGGCAACATTTTTGGATATAATATAGAATTAGAAAAATGGCAAAACTTGTGGGAAAGAAACTATAAATTGATAATGTCAACTCCTTGTAAAGAAAACTTATATAAAATGTTTTATAGATGGCACTTGCCACCAGCAAGATTAGCAAAAATGTTTTAAAACATGTCAGATAGATGTTGGAAATGTAAACACAAGTCAGGTACTTATTACCATGTTTGGTAGAGATGTGCCAAAGCAAAGAGTTATTGTAAAAAAATACATACATGGCTAGAAAAGATGTTGGGAAAACATGTAGATTTTAAATCTGATTTTTTAAATAGCTATAATGCCAGAAAAGACTGATAAACAAAGCATATATCTGATGTTACATGTAATAACAGTGGCAAGAATTATATTCGCACAATATTGGAAAAATGAAGAAATTACCCTCAGATGAAGAAATAATTAAAAAAATACTAGAATGTGCGGAGATGGATAGACTGACTTTAAAATTGAAAAAAAAGAAGAAACAGAATATTATCAAACACACACACACACACACACACATATAGGTCTTTGGTTATTCGGGTTTTCTCCTGCGTAAAATTGGAAGTATCTTGGCGACGTTTCGACAAAGTCCCATTCGTCATCTTCAGGCTGGTGTTTTCAGCTTCATGCTTTGAGGAGCAAGAAGCTGAAAACACCAGCCTGAAGATGATGAATGGGACTTCGTCGAAACGTCGCCAAGACACTTCCAATTTTACGTGGGAGAAAATCCGAATAACCAAAGACCTACATACAGACACCCGCGAAAACCTCAGAAAACGTATGTATGTATGTATGTATGTATGTATGTATGTATGTATGTATGTATGTATAAAGTCCAGAATTGTTTGTACTGCAAATATTTCATTGATTAAAGTCAAATTCTACTTTTAGGAATAATTTTAAAGCAAACCATTTTCTGTTCCCTGGTACTTCTGGAACTGTGTCTGGAGAGTCTAGAGTTTCTTTGTACTGCCTATTTGCCTGCCGTCAGAACAGGGCAGTAACCATTTTTTTTGAGGGCAGAGATGAATGTCAACCTTCATTCCCTTCCTTCCTATTGCAAATTTAATCACCAGACAATTTTTCTATTTCAGTATCCTGAAGCATTTGACTTCCTGACAGACCAACTCCAGCAGGCCACAGATTGCCAGGATTTAGGAGCTTTGAAGACTTTATGTCAGAATCCAATTATATTTCATTTCTATCTACCTACTCTGATATAAAACCAATTCTTATTCTCTTCTGGATTCTGTCATACTATGGAAGGAGAGGAGGGTAAGCATGGGGGTTTTATGACTCTCACTTCCTTCATTAACTACAAAGTGACTGGGTGTTTATTCTCTTCGAGAGGACTAACCATAACAATGCAGCCATTGTCTTTCATCCTACTCCTTCTGAAGTTCTCCCCTTTGCCGGTAGTGAGGGGAAAAAAAGGGGGGGGGGAATGCAATGCCTGGAATCTGGAAAAAGAGAAAATGAGTGATCGTGCTGACAGAGTGGACTGACGGATTGAATCATCCAGAAGAACTGTGGGATGGGGACTGCTTGGGAACACTTTAAAACATTGAGTGGTGGGAGAGGATTCCCCAGATCCTGTCTAGTATGCCTGTAATCAGTTTCTCTTAATAAAGATTTCTGTTGGAAGAGACATTCCAAGAGTTCGGTCTTCTTAAGATGTAAAATTGAGGTGGGTCCTTACATCTTATCTATATTAGACCTATAGGTAGTCCTCAACATATGACCAGTTACTTAGTGACCAAAGTTACAAAAGATCCTGAAAAGGGGGCTTGTTACCCAGATTCAAAGTTTTGATCTCAGCATCCCCATTTGCAGTGCTTGGCACTGGCCCACATTTATGGCCAATTACAGCATCCTGTGATTAGGTGACTGCAACTTGCGTTTTTTTTTTCAGAAACTGCTGTCAGCAAAACATGGATCTACTTAATGACTATGGTATTGGCTTTACAACTGTAGTATTCACTTTACAACAGCCACAAAAACGATTGTAAAATCAGACACTATCACATGATGACCTACTTAAAAACCATCATGCCTTGCGACTAATTGCAGACTCAATTACAGTTGTTAAGTGGGGGACTACCTGTATATTAACTGTATTAAAATAGCTAAAAAAATTGCCTTGTATGGTAGAAGGTTGCTAGTTCTAATTTTTAGTAGAAACATGTTTGTAACTACTGTTTTCTTCAGCTACTGTTTTCTTCTGTAAACTTCTTACTTCTTAGATATTCCTTAATGTCTTTCTAAATCATTATGAATACAGCTGCCACAATTTTGCTTTATCACATGTAAAGATAACATTATATGAAGCAGAGCACTTTATCTCCCTATTTGGCAAAACTATCTTATTGTATGAGAGATACAACACTGTAATAGCAGAAGACAGAAGGGTTGGGATTAAAAATGCACTGGAAGGCGCAATGGAAACATAATAGCAGCCATGGAAAGAATGATTAAAAATACTAATTTAACCCCAGAATATGTAGTGAGAAAGCCTAGCCCCAGAGTAAAACAAAATGTAAACATATTTAAATACAAATGTTCAGATTTATTTTGTAATTCACAGTTTCTATTGACACCATAAATCTGTTTTTATTACAGATCCTAGTGTCGCAATTTTTTATGATTCACACAAACAGTCTAACCCTTCTGACTCTCATTGTGATTTAGGCCCACTTCACAATTCATATTCTTTTAATAAGTCCATCTCATTAGCTGTGTAGACTAAGTATATCACTATAAAACTAACATGAAAGCTGCAAAACATAGACTTTTTAAATAAGTCACATTACATATGAAATTTAGAAAAGACATTAGCTCTTTTAAGAAAACAAGGAGGCACTACTGAAAGTGCTCAATAAGTTAACTTAGACAACATAATCTTGAAACTCCCCCCAAAGACCGTCTTTATTATTCACTCTGGTGTACTCTCATTTCAGCTATATGATAAAAATTAAGTCAAATGAAAAAACACATACACATTTACACAAAAAGTGTAAAAATAGTCCCCATGTCCCAGTCTTCATCCAACCTCAAATTACTGAATAACCTTCCACAATCAGCTGCCCCCTGGATACTTTGGAATTCTTATAATTCCTAGTCAGCAAGTATTAGGCATGCTGGCAGGGGATAATGGGAATTGTATAGAACATGGTTGGGAAAATTGATATGATGTAAAAAAAGCAGCTGTAAAAAATTGTTGACAAAATATTATTTGTTTTTTTTTTAAAAAATCAAAATATTTAGATGTGCCTCAGTACTTTTTTAGCCTATCACCCTACTACAACAGAATTTGTCATACAAAAACTTCCACTATGAAGTCTTCAATAAAATTTAAAGGTGACCAGAAACAGCTGTGACACCAAATGTTCCCACAGTTATATCTTTGTTTCCTTTGATGATATCGTGCAGGCTTGGCAAGGACCCCGTCTTAGTCTGTATTGTTTTTATAAGTTTCTGCTGCTCTGGGGCTTTAGAACGTCTTCGCTTAAGAGATCTCTTCTCCGCTTTTGTCTTTTGGATTTGCCCATTGCACAAACCTCTGCACGCTGAAATGCCACAGAAGTAGGACTCTTCAGATTGTGATGAGGTTTCAGAACTTCCTTCTGATGGCGGACTTTTATACAAAGAATGATATACATCACCAATATTAGAGAAGTCTCTCTGATTGGTAAAAGTCTTCTTGTTTTTTATTTCTCCATTAGCTACGTAATGATTTGTTTCAGCTATTGGCTTGACTGTTTCAATTTTCTCATTTTTATATTTGCAACGCTTCTTCTAAAAAAGAAAAATAGATTGTTTAGTTTAGTTTACTGATTAGACCAGTGGTTCTCAACCTTTTTAATGCCGCGACTCCCAACCGGTCGTAAGTCGAGGACTATTCAACTGGTGCAGCACCATTTGCAGAATGGGACTTTTGGCAGGCTCAGCAGGGCAGAGACAGCCTGGACAATTCCTATTGGCTTTTGAAAGCCAATAGAATTAGACTCTATTCAAGAGAGTCTATTCTATTGGCTTTCAAAAGCCAATAGAATAAAAGGGAGTAGCACAGCTAAGGAAAAGGGGAAAAAAATGGCGGACTGCATTGTTTGGCGACCCCCGTGAAATGGTTGTTTGACCCCAAATGGGGTCCCGACCCACAGGTTGAGAACCACTGGATTAGACCATAGGCCATATCAAAATACAGAGTTCCAAACACAAATTATTAATAAAATCCTATATAAAAACAATTTAAAATGAAATTGGAGTAAAATACAATAATTTGACATATAGATAAGTGAAATAAAATAAAATTAGATTGTTAAGTGAAAGCCTCTTAACTCCTAGGACAAGTTTATATAATGCTGCTCTTAGGTCAGCTACAATAACATACCTTTTTTTCTGGGGAAAACTTCAATGGTTCTACAATGTAGAAGTCATCTGGGTTCACTAAAAAAAAAAAGGATATATAGATAGTACCTTAGTATTTTTGTATGTGTTATGTATATTCTTTCTTATTAAGACAGGCAATAACATTAAAAGTCAATAAAACCAGAAAAAATGATATAGCATATGTAAGTGATACATTTAAAGTAGATTCTGAGCTTGTTCTTTGAGTAGATTTTACACTATTCAGAACAGAACAGAACAGAAGCTGGAAGGGACCTTGGAGGTCTTCTGATCCAGTCCCCTGCTCGAGCAGGGGAACCTATACCATTTCAGACAACTGACTGTCTAGTCTGTTCTTAAAAACCTCACTGTTAGGAAGTTTCTCCTTAATTCCAGGTTGTTTCTCTCTTTGGTCAGTTTCCAGCCATTGTTTCTTGTCTTTCTCTCTGATGCTTTGGAGAATAGTTTGATCCCCTCTTCTTTGTGGCAGCCCCTCATATACTGGAATATTGGTATCATGTCACCCGTTTCTTCTTTTCTTTAGACTAGCCAAATCCAAGTCCCACAGCCGTTCTTCATATGTTTTAGTCTCCAGGCCTTGGATCATTTTAGTTGCTCTTCTCTGAATTTTTTCCAAGGTCTCAGCATCTTTTTTGTAGTATAGTGACCAAAATTGGTTGCAGTATTCCAGGTGTGGTCTCACTACGGTTTTATAAAGCGGTACTAATACTTCGTGTGATCTTGATTCTATGCCTCTGTTTATACGCCCAGGATTGTATTAGCTTTTTTGGCTGCTGCTGCACACTGATTGCTCATTGTCAAGTGATTGTCCAGTAGGACTCCAAGGTCGCTCTCACAGTTGCTGTTTTTGAGCCAGCTCTTGCCTAATCTGTATTTAAATTTTTGACTTTTCCTGCCTAAATGTAAAACTTTGCTTTTCTCCACATTAAAACTCATTTTGTTGGATAGGGCTCATTGTTCAAGTTTGTCAAGATCTTTTTGGATACTGAGCTTGTCTTCTGGGGTGTTGGCTATCCTGCCAATTTAGTGTCATCTGCAAATTTGATGAGTTCCCCTTTTATTCCCTCATCTAAGTCATTAATGAAGATATTGAAGAGTACTGGGCCTAAGACGGAGTCTTGTGGTACCCCACTGCTTACTTCTCTCCAAGTGGATGTAGTGCCATTGAGGACTACTCATTGAGTACGGTTTGCCAGCCAGTTACAGATCCATCTGATGGTGTTGTTGTCTATCCCACCTTTTTCTAGCTTACTAAGCAACAGGTTGTGGTCTACTTTATCAAATGCCTTACTGAAGTCCAAGTATACTATGTCCACAGCGTTTCGCTGGTCTACTAATTTAGTCACTTTATCAAAGAATGAAATGAGATTGGTTTGGCGTGATTTGTTTTTGACAAACCAATGCTGGCTACTGGTTGTAACTTTAGAATAGAATAGAGCAGGAAGGGACCTTGGAGGTCTTCTAGACCAGCCCCTTGATCAAGCAGGAGAACCTATACCATTTCAGACAAGTAACTGTCTAGTCCAGGAGTCGGCAACCTGAAACACTGAAAGAGCCACTTGGACCTGTTTCCCTCACGAAAGAAAAAAACGGGAGCAGCAAAATCTGTGTATGTGCACGTGCGCAACAGGGGGCTTGATTGAAGAGTAGAGCCTAAGGCAAGAAATGTACCGGCCCTGCCCCAGTCCAGCTTTGGTATGGACGGTTCCGCTATCCTGGCTTCTCCTCCCCTCGGAAAAGACTACTCTCCCCCCATGCTCTCCCTCTCTGGGACTTTCTCCCTTTTGGACTTTCTTCTTTCCACCTTTGGTGCAAAGGTTCCAAGTGAGGGGAGGAGGAGGCCGACAGGGAGAAGGAGCTGCTGCAGCAAATCTTCTGAGGCGGCAGCAGACGGCTGCTCAGGCTCGCCTATTTCAGCCTACTGCGGGAGGCCGGAGTTGAGGCTTCTGGCTCACTCTGGGAGGGGTGAGTGGAAAAGAGAGGATGAGAAATGGAAAGTGGGAGAAAGGACATCTTCCAGCACTCTGGAGTTCTTTCGCTGGGAGGGCGAGGAAGTAGCGGGGAAAGACAGCTCCGGAGTGAGCTAATGTGGCATGCTTCTCTTTGCAAACAAATGCAAAAGGTTTCGGGGTTTCGCTTACCCACGTGCCCAGGTGGAGACCCTGCGCCACCCCTTCTCCTGTGGCCGGGGACAGAGGGCCGGCCCTGAGCCTGTCCTGGAGAACTTTTTAGGATACCCCCTGCCCCCTCCCCTGTCAGCCCAGGCGCTGCGGCACTGCAGCAGGAGAGAACCCTCTGGACCTTTGGTACTCCCGGCTTGCTGGTGAGGCTTGCATACTCGGCTCCCGCTGGGGAAGCTGCACCTTTTGGGGCAGGGGCTCTGAGCAATTGCATGCTTCGTGGAAGGAGCATGGAGGCCTGCAAGCAGGCAGGCAGGCAGACAGTGGGCAGCATAAACTGAGTGGCGGCAGCTGGGCAGCATGAACTGAGCAGCGGCAGGAGGAAGGCAGGGCCTTGGCTTGTTGCTTATCAAGACCGTCCTCAGTTCATGCTGCCCAGTGTCTCTTGTTCTGCTGCCGCTCAGGCCCCTTTTCCGCTGCTGGAAGCATGCCGCATTAGCTGGCACTGCAGGGGGTGGTCCCACGGCAATGCCGACAGTCCGGGCTGTGTACCACCAGCGTCTCCAGTCCCAAGCCGCGAGAAATATCCAGGCCCGAGTTGTCCGCTGCAAGGATGCCCTGCCCAGGGCAGCGCCACTAAACTGCCTTCTATGTTGCTGGCATCCCCAGGCTGGAGCAGTGAAAGCCGGTCCAGCTGGTCGTTGGGGTGCAGAACCGGGCCGCGGACGGCAGGCCTTGCTCACCGGCAATGCTGGAGCTTCACACACTGACCGGTAGGTCTTCCGTGCTGCTCTGCTCAGATCGCCGGCTTCTGGCTGCAGGTGTCAATGTTGCTAATATTGGATATTATTGCTTTGACAAGATATGCAGAACTGTCTGGCATTTTTACAGTTAATTCAGATGATGGGGGTGAGAAAGATAAAGATTGCGCGCGTGAAGGGAATGGAAGTGAATCTTTGCCCTCCAGGTTGATTGGAAAATGTGAATCCTGACAGCAAAATGGGGGGGGGGAAATAGCCTGGAATGTTATGTGCAAAGGAAGGGAAATTCAGATCTTGGCATTCATCCATGCTGTGCCGACACTCTGTTACACTATAATGAAGGCTTTTAGGATAAACAATGCCTGGAAGTTCTTTGAAGTGCTTCATTAGTCAGAAACTTGACATCATGCCAAGATCTACAAACTTTTCAAACCATTTAGGGGTCCCGGGCCCCAGTCGCTGTTCCTAAACTAAAGGGATAGGCTGACGAAGATTCAGGGAAGATCTCATTATGGAAGGAGAAAGATTGCCTGAGGCCAGCACTCCGGCAGCAGCGGCTTCCCTGGGGGGAGGGGAGCGGAAGCCGGCAAACCAGGGGAGAAAGACTTCTGGCAGATCATCCAGCTAGGAGCAAAGACTTCAAAAGCAGAATGATGGAGAGCTAATGAATCGCCTGCCACTCAGGTTTTGGGTGAGTCACTGGAAAGATTTCAAAACCCAGAGGTGAAAAGCAGAAATCAATTCCTGGAGAGAGGAGCCTATACCCCTTCCATGGCCCAGCAGAAAGCCTGCCAGAACCTCTCTTCCCCTGCCAGGGACCCCAACCCTGAAGAGAGGGAATTCCAGTCTGAGGCATCTGCAGCGATGGGTAGATGGGGTTCCCCAGGAGATGGTCAGTGATTTCTGAGCTTGCCACAACTAATAGAGGCCTTGCAACAGCTTGGGGTGGTGCAGAAACCAGAAGATCAGCAGCTGGTGGGAGACTGACCACAGCAGGGAGATTGGCCACAGCCCCTGAACGTGCAACCCCTGGGCATAAATCTGCAGCCAGGATGGGACCAGCAGCAACAGCCTGTAATTGCACCACCCTTCAAAGCAACCTTTGATGGGGACCCAGAGAAGATGATTTTTTTTTCTCAACCAAGTGCGTTCTCACTTGAATCGCTGGGCCTATCTCTACCCGGAACCAGGTGCCATGGTCGATGTCATTGCGTACAACCTGGAGGGAGAAGCATCTGAATGGCTGAACAATCTATATAGTGAGCAAGCCCCCGAACTGGGAGATCCCCACCTTTTCCTCCTAGGACTGGGAGAAAGATTTGAGGACCCATCCATAGGCCTCAAAGCAGCAGAACAGATCCACAAAATAAAAGAAGCCGGCAGGCCTGCCCTGGAGTACATGCGAGAATTCCGCAAGATAGCAGGTTGAATAGAGGGATGGCCTGAGCAATCCCTAATCCATCACTTCATTGAGGGATTAGACAATCCCCTCTCTCAGGCCTGCATCATTCGGGCAGTACCTGATCAGCTACAAGAGTGGTACCAGACAGCGGTGAAACTAGACGTTCAGCTCGCCCACTATAAGAAGCCTGCCCCACCTGAATCCGAGCAGCTGCCAGAGCAACCAGACAGCAATCACCCCCACAAAAACCTCCAACTACTACGATGGCGGAGAGACCCAGACCACTTGCAGACCCATCAAATAAGTGTTTTTGGTGTGGACAAGAGGGACATCGAGTGGCAACCTGTCCAGTCCCCTACCCCCGACTGCAGAGCAGACCAGAACCAGCAACGAGAAAGAAACCTGCTCAGCGGCTAACGAGAGAAAAATCCAACCAGCTCACACAAGAACCTGTTGCCCAGAGTACACCCCCCCACACAGGAGGACGCTGGAACTCCGGGTGGACCTGCCCTTGCTCTACCCTTTAACATCAATGATGAAGAAGAGAATGACCCGATGGTGAGTCAAGAAATCCCACCTTTTTCACTGGCCGCCAAACTTATAATCCCTAAATCTGGGGCACAAATGGACATAAATGTGCTAATTGATTCTGGATGCACCCGCTGCATTATTAGTCTGCTATTTGCCATGAAAATGGGCATACGGGCAAAATAGCTTTCCAAATCTGTGAGGTTTGAGCAAGCCAATGGCTCCCTC